CCCCCCCATCCTGGGGCACTCCATTAGCTGGGTTCAGACAACCTTCTTCCCCTTGAATAACTTTAAAGAGTGACTGAATACATTGATGGAGAGCAGATCAGTTGAGGACTATCAAGCTTGAAGACTCCAATATTACCTCCAAAGTCAATTACAGGGGAACAGCAGCAAAAGAGGAATTGTCTTCACCTCTTGCTTGCAAGCGCTCCAAAGGCTTCTGGTTGGTCATGGTCAGAAACAAAATTCTGGGCTAACATGGGCTTCATCCAGCAGGGCTGTAACCTCATTTTAGCCTAGACTAGAGGCTCTTCCTCAGAGCAGTAGTAAAATACCATCATCCAATACAGGAACCAGCAGAAACGTACACCAGCATAGAAGATCTGCTGACTGCCCTTCCAACCACTGTTTTGCTGGGGCAACAAAGCAAAACAGGGTCTGTATCTGCATGAGAAGCGAGGAGAGGAGAGAGGGGGAATAGGAAGCACCTCCTTTGATGCCAGTGACTGCAGGTCTTCTGCTGTCAATACTTAGCTCCTATGGAATGGTCACTCATGGGATTGGAGGACAGGAACCAAAGGTCCCATTCCCTGCCATTTCTCTCCCCTGGCTTCTCTTGCAAGAAAAGGGGTGGGGGGAAGAAGCAATGGAAGTGGGTCTTCTGCTGTCCATTTTCTGATGCCACCAAGCAAACTCTCCAAGGAAAAGGAAGTTGCACCCCACAGTGAAGACACAGGCAGCATTGCCTTGTGGCTGCTGGTTGCAGAACCACGGCTGTTCTGTTGGCTCCCCTCTGGTACTGCTGCTGAGGGCTAGGCTGATGTGGAAAGGGGGGAAGTAGCATCTGCCCAGTCCCACCCCCCAGTTTAATACCTAAGATGTGAGCTTTTAATACATATGTCCAGTGGTCTTGCAGAAAACTGTTGGACAGATATCAAGAGCACACCTGACACCCCAACCCTGGTTTTGGCATAGCTATGCTAAAACACCTCCCTCCCAGTTTCAGTGCTTCATCTCGAGCTCCAGTGGCCATTCTTGACAGCAGACTTCCATACCCTACCACTCTTTCTGGCACAGTGTGAGAGTGCTGATTCCCTCATGTCCCAAAGGCAAATGGCCTTGAACATCAGTGGCCAGGAACCAAAAGGAAGGTGAGACCAGAGAAGCCAGCTTCTTGCCAATAGAAGCAGGGCAGTCCCTCCCCTCCCCACCCATAACATCACCATATAATGTGCTTCTGACAGCTGGTGCAGAAGAAAATGCTACTCTTCTTCTCTTGAAAATGCTTCTCTTCTATTGGTAAAGTGCTACTTTTGAAGCAGAGCAAAAAACAGGCAGAGGAAAGGGGCAGGTTGAGAGCAATGTTATGTGTTCATGTTCTGAACAATACATTAGTGAGCTATCTATGCACCATGGCAAGCAGAACATTATGAGCTCCAGGGTCAAACCCAGCTCCTGACCTTGATGCTGATTTTTTCCACCAATTGTTGCAAGGTGTTTTTCCTAGAATTGCCTTTGAGATTGGCCTGGAAACTGCAGCTCATAGCAAAATACTGTGACTAGGATGGTAAAGGGGGCAACTGCCTCTGTTCACCATACATCTATCCTAAAACAGCTGCATCTGCTCTAAGCCCAGTTCAGATCTAGTGGAGATACACTATCAAAAGTACCATGTTTGCTTGCCAAAGGTTAGCTGAACAGAAGCTAAAAGATTTAGGTATTCTTATTTCAGGCATCCTGATTATTAAATGCCCTGATTACAGTTGGCACTCTTACTCATTTTCAGCATCAACTACTGTAAAGACCATCTTGTTCACCTAGCCTTAAGACTGAAATATCATTGTGCTGTTTATTTTTATTTATAAAATACACAACCCACATTTTCATTGTTTTAACAATTGCCAAACAGGGATGCAATTCAATAAATGTTTAAAAACATACAGATGTACTCATGTACACGCATATTTAAAAATCCTTAGTTTAAAAAGTTACTATTAAAAAAGGAGTAATGGTATAAAAGCCTTCACAATGTACTTACTGACTGGCTGAGATTGTTGTGATGATTTTCCTTAGGGTAATGTTTAATCTGTATGATCTTTTTTAAGGAGAGGTGGGTATTTTTTTTCATTAATGATTTAACTAATCAAACACTAAGTATTCAAATTTGATTTAATTCAGTGGGAACTGATACTGGTAGTTTAATTAGCCCCATCCCTCCGTAAGTCCCTCAAGACCTGGCTATGTGATCAGGCCTGGGGTTCCCAGGGGACTGGGGAGATGTTATGATGGCTCCCTTATTAATTTTATCCCCTCCTGTTTTGTGTGTTTTTACTGTTTTTTATATGTAGTTGTTTTTATGTTTTTTTAAATTGTTGTACACCACCCAGAGTCACCTTGTGTTAGATGGGCGGCTATATGAATATGATAAAGAAATGAAGAAATTCAGTTTAACTAATTGCAGGAGCATTCACTGGGGTATAAAAAAAGTCAAGAGGGCGGCCACAGTTGTGACTATCATCTTGACTTTTTGACTCACCCCTGGATTAATGAGTGCCCAAATCTGTACACTTTCCAGCTTTGGATCCCTTGTTTCTGTGCCTTATCCGAAGGACCTTCCCACTTTGTGTCTCTCACCAGCCTTCGTAGGAATGATCTCCAGCCATACTCCTTGGCTCCATTGTGAACTTGCCATGCCAACAGCAGGAGCATCATGGAAGCTAGGAGGGCATTTTGTGCCCAACAGAAGAAGAAGTCTACGGTCAGTTCCATGGAGGCCTGGATCCAGCACAGGAGATCCCACTGAATCTGCTTCAGACAGAAATACCAACTCAGAATCCCCTCCCACAGCGAGAGAAGGTGCAGGTACAGGGTTCTCAGCCCCTCTCGAACTGCTCCTTGTAGGCTACTTCCCATAGTTGTTGGGAGTGAGGATCCTGACTTGGGAAATTTGCTAGAAGGATGTATCTTGGGCTCCATGAGGAAGCACCACTTGGCAAGAGATGGCACAACACACAGCACTCTTCAGAGATCTGTGAATGAAGACAGCATCATACCGATCTATCAGGACCCTTCTTCGTTTTTACAAACAGAAACGTTGTTCTAAGTTACATACTCTTTTGTTCTTTTTGACATCATGTTTAGTCTATGAGCCTAAATATTTATTATCCCTTCCTCCCCTTAATACAACAGTCCTGTAAAACTGCTTAAATAAAAAAATAATGGCTAAATTGTTTGAGAATAGCTAAACCTGCTAAACTGTAAAGTCACGCTAGCAAAACACATTAATAGTGACCAAGCTAACATTTTTTTCTCATTTTGCAAAAGACACATACCCATAAATGAACCAAACAAGCTACGATATGCAACTTGCTAAGCCACAAAATTAATCAGGCTTAACATAAATACTGCCACAAAGTCTTTAATTGATCTGATTGAGTTGTATGC